AAATAGCCCTCCGCTACCACGTACACGGGGCCCAAAAATATGTGCGTGTGCACATGTACGTGATACGTACGCGCGTACATGAATACGCGTGCGCATTTACGCGGAGCCCTGTACGTGTACGCGGTGCTACGTAGGTACATACATAGTTTCACATAGTTTACGTATTCTTGTACGTTTTGTACATAGTTATTTTCTTGTTCTTGTACCTTTTAATACATAGTTGTGTGGTAAATTTGTACATAGTCTTTGTAAACTTGTACATAGTTATTTTCTCATTCTTGTACCTTTTAATACATAGTTGTGTGGTAAATTTGTACATAGTTATTTTCTCGTTCTTGTAGCCTTTCCTTTTTGCAAATTTTCCTTCGTGTAACTTTTGTAAATACATAGTTTTACATAGTTTTCTCATTGTTGTACCTTTTGTACATAGTTTTTTTTCTCGCTCTTGTACCTTTTGTTAAGTTTTATTCATAGTTTTTTCCTCGTTCTTGTACCTTTTGTACATAGTTTTGGAGTAAAAATTGTACCCATGCTATTTGGGTTAGAGCTAAAGCTTGTGTTGCTTTCGAATACTGGACTTTCATCGTCTAGGGTGCAGAATGCAATTGGTTCATCTAGCAAGCTTCGACTTAAAAACACTCTCCCATAACCTCGCTTACTTATAGAATAAATGATTTATAGGCTTCTCCCATTTCATCCGCTGCTACTCAGGGAATCACTTCTGCTTTTTTTTTTCTCTGGCTACTAAGATGTTTCAGTTCACCAGGTTCTCCGTTATCTGCCTATGGATTCAGCGACAGTACAAGGGTTTACCCCATTCGGGAGTCTTTGGATCTATGCCTGTTTCGACTCCCTGAAGTATTTTGTCGCTTACTACGCCCTTCTTCGTCTCTGAGTACCTAGGTATCCACCGTAAGCCCTTCCTTATTTGAACCTATTACCTTCCTTTTAGACTCCAAAAACATGGTAATTAGAATAAATTCAAAAAATTTATTCCATTGTTTATTGAGAATGTATATATAATTATAATTATATTATATATATATAGAGATTGTATTTGTATATGTAGATAATGCATTCTAAATAATACACATAAAATAGAATATTACATCAACATTTCGAGTTCAACGTTCCCGAGAAACCTATCTCCCTTTTTCAATTTTCAGAGTTTAGAACCCAGTGGAGGTAAGCAGACTTGAACCGCTGTCATCAGCCATGGGGTAAGCAACTACCTCAATAATTCCTCACTTCAATTTCCTCACACACACACACATACATAACACACACACACACACAAAAAAAAAAAAAAAAAAAAAAAAAAAGTTTTTTTCTTGCTCTTGTACCTTTTGTACATAGTTTTGTAGTAAATTTTTACAATGTCTTTTGGAACTAAGGAATCTTGTAGTTTTTCCTTCTTTTAACTTTTGTACATACATAGTTTTGCATAGTTTTCTCATTCATGTACCTTTTGTACATAATTTTTCTTTTTGTCTCTTTTGTACATACATAGTTTTACACTCGTTCTTGTACCTTTTTTACATAGTTGTGTAGTAAATTTGTACATAGTCTTTTGGAACTTAGGAATCTTGTAGTTTTTCCTTCTTGTACCTTTTGTACATACATAATTTTACTTAGTTTTCTCGTTCTTGTATCGTTTGTACATAGTTTTTTGGAACTCTGATATCTTGTAGCTTTTGTATGGAACTTAAAAAACTCAGGAATCTTGTAGCTTTTGTATGGAACTTTGGGAATCTTGTAGCTTTCGTACATGCATAGTTTTACATAGTTTTTTTCTCTTTCATGTACCTTTCTTGTTTATAGTTTTTTTCTCTTTCCTGTACCTTTCTTGTTTAGTGTTTTTTTTCTCTTTCCCGTACCTTTCTTGTTTTTTCTCTTTCCCGTACCTTTCCTGCACATACTTTTTTCGCTTCTTGATCCTTTTGTACAACATGAACTTTCCCTCCTTTTACATTTTGTACATACTTTTGTACATAGTTCATTCCTTTTTGTGCCTTTTTGCATAACTTTTACAGGTTTTCCCTTCTTTTTCCCTCCTTGTTTTTATTTTTTTGCACCTTTTGTGCACAATTCTTCCCTTCTTTTTCCTTTCTTGTACCTTTTGTACATAGACCCCTCTCCCCTTCTTGTATGCTTTAGTTTTATCCTTCTCCCTTCTTGTTCCCATTAGTTTTACAAACTTTTTTCCCTTCTTTTTTGCACCTTTTGTGCACAGTTCTTCCCTTTTTTTTTTCCCTTTCTTGTACCTTTTGTACATAGACCCCTCTCCCCTTCTTGTATGCTTTAGTTTTATCCTTCTCCCTTCTTGTTCCCATTAGTTTTACAAACTTTTTCCCCTTCTTGAACATCTTGTACATAGTTCTTCCCATCTCCCTTTTTGTACCGATCACTTTTTTGAAACTCTTTCCCTACGTGTACCTTTTGTACATACTGCATACCCTTTTGAAACTTTTTCCCTTCTTCCTGCTTGTACCCATTACTTTATCCCTCCCTTCTTCTTTATACAGCCTTCCGCAACTTTTTCCCTTCTTCCTTTTTGTACCCATTACTTTTTCCCTTTGTGGACAAACCAACTAGTCCTCAACGGAAGACCGTCAAGTTGTGGTTGTGAATCATCCTTGGAAGTTTATGAGAGAGAGAGAGCAGTATTCGAAGGGGCCTTGAAGGGTGTGGTGTTATTTCCCTTTTTTTTAAGGGGTGCATAGTACATACCTCTGTAGCACGGTGAACGTGTTCGGGCCCCTCTGTGTTCGTGCGAATGTGTTCAAGCATAATTGTTTTTCGTAAAAAAAAATAAAGAAAAAGGTATTTTGTTTTCGGTTTTTGATTTTTAAGTTTTAACCCACATTTTACTACGAATTTTAACATGACTCCAAGGAAAAAGCTGCTTGTATTGTTGTTTTACATGACATATAGTGTTCTCAAAGCTTTCTAAGATTTTTTTTTATTTTATTTTATTTTTAATGTTCGTGTTCGGAGGGTTTTGGGCGCTCGTTCGCATTCGGGCGAACATGCTCGTGTTCGCCGGACCGTAGGAGGCCCGTCCGGAAGGGGCCAAAAGCCCAAAATTCAAAAGAAAAAAGGGGCACCCTAGACCTGGTCCTCGGGTCCAGGGCCCCCCCTGAAAAATGTTTTGATGATTTTTGGGGCCGGTATCGACCGTAAAGTCGGTCGGACCGGCCCCTTTTCTACTTGCATCCTGGGCAGACTGTTGGAGGCAGCGCGCAGTTCCCCAATGACAAAGGGAAGAAAGGGAGGATCTAAGCACTTCAGAGGGCTTTCCCGCCCACCCGCCGGTGCCACACGGACACACACCCACACACACACACACAGAGGGAGAGGGAGAGTGAGCCCTCGTTACCGTTTTGGACTGGTGCGCTCATGCGAGAGAGAGAGAGAGAGAGAGAGAGAGAGAGAGAGAGAGAGAGAGAGAGAGAGAGAGAGAGAGAGAGAGTTTGAACTTTGAACTTTAAATTCTGAACTGCTAGAGTCTTGAACTTTATTTAATATTTACCTTTATTCAGGTTTACTATGGAGTGCTCCTTTTTTTGTTTCTTCACTTTTTCTTCTCTTGCAGCAGTTTGTGCTTTGCAGTGACTGCGCCAGCACAGTGCATGTCAAGGAATGATCATTCGTGTTTGTCATATATGCCAACAGCTATGTCTTCCTGGAACACTTCCCCTTAAGTCATGGGTATACGATGAAACTGCATTCAACATGCATAAGAGACCTGCCAGTGTCTTTTTTTCCCCCCCAATCCGGACCGATCCGGACATGATCATCTGGACCATCCGGACCGACTGGTTGTCTAGGTCCGGGTCATCATGATCATCATGACCATCCGGACCATCCGGACTGACGGGTCGGGAAATCCGAACGTCCGGATCATATCCGGACCGACTGGTTGTCTAGGTCTGGGTCGATCCGGTGTCCGGGTCCACGGTAGCCATGATTTGGATTCATGATCTGTTTATTAAACTTTATTTATAGTTATGTGTGCATAGTAGTGTACCGCATTCAGGCACAACGCAGACAACTGCGGAGGGTCTTCTACAACAAGGAATATGAACACAACACCCGGTTTACACCCCATCCTACTCCCCATGAATAAACTCGAGCCATCCACACCGATGGGTTCTCCATTGGTACGAGCTTTAATCTTCCTTGATAGACGATAGCCTGCAGATGGCTTTTGCAAATAACAACAACAATACCAACTAAAACAACCAACAACAACAAACATAACCACAGCAACACGACACTGACGGCAGGATTGAATTGAATTGACGACTGTATGGCAATTCAATTAATTTCAAATCAATTCAATTCAATTCAATTACATACCATACCATACCATTCAATTCAATTCAATTCAATTTGCTTTCTGCAAACAAGAACAACAGCACCAACAGAAAAAAAAGAAAAAGAAAAAGAAAAAAAAAGCACAGCAACATGGCACTGATGGGAGGATTGAATTGAAGACTGTATGGCAATTCAATTCAAAAGGGTGAATAAAAAAGAAGAAATAGACTCAAATAGTTCTCTAGAGATCTATATCTTCTATGGAAATTCAAGATTCCATTCCATGCCATTCCAAATATCCGTTATACCCCCCGTTACCACGTGATCCAACTCCAGCAATACCTGGTCCCAAAAAAAAAAAAAGTTATACCCAGGTGTAGGGCCACAAAATTACGGTTATAACCATTCCTCCTCTCCTCCTCAAATGTACATCGAAGGGCAGAGAGGGAGGGAGTGCAAAGAGGGAGGGAGGGAGGGAGGGAGGGAGGGAGGGAGGGAGGGACTACAGACATTAGAGTCAAAACAGCAAAGAACAGAGCAAAATTAGACGCGCTGGAGAGGAGAGTAACAGGGTTCCAGCAAAGGAGGGCAAAGTGGCGAGGAGCAAAGAGGAGAATTCTGAGCAATTTTGGTGATTGGATCAATGGTAGCTCATTTGGATTTTTTGAATATTAACTGACCTTGTATAGAGGACTTGTTCATTTATTAGGTCCATGACACCTGGGGGTGCATCAGCCAAAAACTTCTGAAAGCTGCATCACAGTCAAACATTGAATTGGATGAAAATTGCACATGTGAGCTTGTGAGCACATTCAAATCAGTGTATACATCTTTAAACCACCAGTACTTGGCCCAGCTACCGGCCGCGGAAAAAATAGAGTAGAAACGTTTCTAGTTGGATGAATTTGGGCACTCCTGTAGTGGTCCGTATGTTTCCTAAAATCGTGGCGCGTTAACGGGCACGACTTTAGGAAGTACTGGTGGTTTAATAATGAGCAACGGTCATCCACCAAGAGGGTCGCACGCGCGCACACACACACACACACACACACACACACACACACACACACACACACACACACACACAATCAGTTTTATCTCTATCTGTTTGTGTTCTTGTTTTTCCTGCTTCCCCCAATTTTTTTTCGAAGTATTTTCTGTCTGTTGGAGTGAGCACCGTCAAGAAGTGCTAAACAGTAGGTGATCCGTTGGGTTTGGAGCGCCTACAACACTCCTAGGGGGGGCACTCGGTTCGGGATGTCTGTGTTGCCTGTGGGTGACGACAGATCTTCGTCTGGGTGACTCCCTGGCTCAGCAGGTGGTGGGAACCAACAGACTGCGGGGTTCAATCGTGATGTGAGTAGGCGATGTGCCGCTTTGCTTTGTGTTGGATGTGTAGACTGCCTTGTCTGCGCTCCGCCGCTGCTTTGCTGCCCGTCGTCTGCCGTCCTCTATCCCCTGTGCCTTCCAGCCCTTCTTCACTCTTTGTTGCCTGTGGTGTCTGCTGCTTGTGTGTTGTCTGCCCTCCCTCCTCCCCCGTGCCCTCCAGATTATGTTTGCCTTGCTTTTTACTGCCTGTGTGCCAGCAAGAGATCCAAAACCTCAGCAATAGCTCAGGTTGCTAGTACTCGGATTATCCACGAAATGATTGTTGAATGTAGAAAATATAGGTTGTTTAAGAACCGATCGTCAAATCATCGCCAGTTCCAGCTGAACGATACACCTGTCGACTCTTCTTCATAACCGGGCGAAGACTTCTTTTGATCTAGTATGACTAAGTATGTCTTGAAAAAAAGAAAAACAAAAAAACTTTTAAAAAGTGGTTTGAGAACTCAAAGACTCCTACGAGTTCAGATCCCGTCGAATCCTAGAATGACCGGGTTTATGCTCTTTTCCAAACCAACAACAACAAAGAAAATACAGATTAGAAATAAAAAAAAAAAAAAGCAGAAAAACTTCCAAATCTTTTCACGTAGCTGAAGTAGGCCTCATCATATATCCAGCAAGATAGCTTATAACTTGAAAGTCATAAGTCATAAAAAAAAAAGTGTTAATAAATTATAATAATCCAAGTATCCTATATCCAGCAAAGACAGCTTATAAGTCATTAAGAAAAGTGTTAATAATCCAAGTATCCTATATCCAGCAAGACAGCTTATAAGTCATAAAAAAAAGTGTTAATAAGCCAAGTTTCCTTCGGCTTAGCTTTCAAGTTTCCAGTGGTGATCTTATATGGGTCATAGAAAGATTCAATGAACCCCAAGGTGGGCAAAAAAAAAAAAAAAAAAAAAAAAAAAAAAAGATTGAAAGAACGAACCCAGGAGTCAGAACTTTAAGACTCACCAAAGTGGCCTTAAATTTCAAAATTTCAAATCCTGTCAAATCCCACAATGTTCAGGTTTATCTTCTTTTCAAACCAAAGACAAAAAAAAAGAAAAAAACTTAAAAAAGGAAAAAAATTCAAAAAAAAACAAATCGGAGATAGTTAGAATTGAAAATTTTGAGCTAGCTGGAGTCGTTTCACATACCTTTTTTAAAGTTTTTTTTTTACGCTGTTTTCTTTTAAAGTTTCAACTTTCAAGTTTCAACCCTTAAAAAAAAACAAATTCTAAAACCTTGGGCCGAATCCCTCACGAGAAGCCCAATGTTTCCCAACCCCCCCCCCCAAAAAAAAAAAAAAAAAAAAAAAAAAAACATACCTGAAATAGGCCTCATCATATGGATACATATGAGGATTTAATAAACCCCATGCTGCAACTATTCTCCTGTCCAAAGTCTGCTTATCCGGTCGCATTTTCAACATATTACTAATGCTTTCATTGTATGCATCCAGGGTGGAGATCACCTCAGGATCTCTGTAGGATAACAAGGTCAAGAGGCCTGTACAGCACAGGAACAACCATGAAATGTCAGAAGAGAAGATGAAATGCGATGAAATGTGATATGTATCATCATCGTCGTCATCATCATCATCATCATCATCCTATAATTCCTACAAATATGAGTGCATCTTTTTTCCATAAAGGCTGGAAAGGTGCACTCATATGAGTGAAAGGTCATATGAGACAGAATGGACGGCATTGCAAGAATCCATTTTAAAAGATCACAAAAAATAGAAGAAAAAGACTCATGAATTTGGGAAACGCTCTCACCAGGACTTTTTCGGTCAGAATTTTCTGAACGTAATTGCACTCAAATGCATCCCGGATGCTTAGTAATTGCGACCAGATACATCCCGGATGGGCCGTCGTTGTGATCAGATGTTCTCTTTTTTTTTTTTTTTTTTTTTTTTTTTTGGTGATCAGATATTCTCAAGAAAGCAACATTCCAGAAAGTCATAGTATAAGTATGCTGGTAATGACTGCCAACAATTGATTACAAATTTACGAAACGCTCTTAACATAATAACCACAGTAACAAGCTAGACGTCCAGATACCAATCCAGACCAATGGGGTCCAGATGTGCGGATCTGTCGTTGTCCAGGTCGCAACATCCGGATTGCCCCAGTTCACCTTTTGAGTTTTGACTTTAAACCACCAGTACACAGCCCCAGCCTTGTGGAGAAATCTTTCATCGCCTGCCAAAATTTTGGAGGCTCAGGGCTACCAGACCACAATGGCTGGCGGCGCCAGCCGAAAAGGAAAAAAAAAAAGTGCGCCACTGGCGGTTCAGCTACGTTTGGCGTGCAGTGAAAGTCCTCCAGGCCCAGGAGTACTGGTGGTTTAAAGCATTGTAATGCTGGACCTAAAGACAACCCCCAAACACTGGAAGAGAACAGAGCAGGGCTAGATCTTGGTCAGGATGTACACCGTTGGACCAAAGGGTGCACCTTGGGACCGAAGGCTGTAACTTGAGACTAAAGCATGCATCTAGGGACCAAAAGGTGCACCTTAGGACCAAAGCGTCGACCTTGGGACCGAAGAGTGTACCTTGGGACAAAAGCATGTACCTTGGGACCAAAACCTTTACCTTGGGACCCAACGGTGTACCTTGGGGCCAAAGGGTATACCTTGCCAAATGGATTTTTTTGAGTCTTTTTTTTAGAAGGATATACTTGTGAATTCAGAGCATTGCACACTTGCATGCACCTCTCACACAAGTTCGGGAACACATGAAGCACAAATGAGATATGAACTCCAAATAGTCTCGGCAATCAACACAAGTGAACTGTCTTCTTCAAACTCAGCGGCTATGACTGCTCAAACAACACTTAAGTCTCTCGCTCTCACATATATTCTCTCTGACTACTAACTCACAAAGGCCTCGCTTG